CTAGACAACACTAGATGTCTCCCGTCGCATGGTATTATTCCAGTGGCCATTGAGCATTGTTCTTTGATGCTGATTCAGATTAGAACCCTGCATTTACTCCAATGAGCTAAATGCGACATTCGTAAGGGCCGTCCGATTTCACCCACTGAACAAAAATGATATGGAATGGGTTAGATTGGCTCCCTGTAGCAGTCCTAGGGCTACCCAGTGAACTTCATGGCTGAGTAGAGGTTTGAGACCAGGCCTCAGTGGTAAAAATCCGGCAGCTTGTGTATTCCACCATAGTGCCTCTCTGGTACTACTGCTCCTATGATAATATGCGATAGGTACATGTTGTGGGGAAAAAACCTTTTAATTCCTGCCTGGTACTATGTTAGTTGGACGCGGGTGGCGCTGTGGGTTAAACCACAGAGCCTAGGACTTGCTGATCAGAAGGTTGGCGATTTGAATCCCTGCGACGGGGTGAGCTCCCGTTGCTCGGTCCCTGCTCCTGCCAACCTAGCAGTTCGAAAGCATGTCAAAGTGCAAGCAGATAAATAGGTACCGCTCCAGTGGGAAGGTAAACGGCATTTCCGTGTGTTGCTCTGGTTCGCCAGAAGCGGCTTAGTCATGCTGGCCACATGACCCGGAAGCTGTACGCCGGCTCCCTTGGCCAATAAAGTGAGATGAGCGCCGCAACCCCAGAGTCAGCCAGGACTGGACCTAATGGTCAGGGGTCCCTTCACCCCTTACCTTTACTATGTTAGTTACTCTGATCCTGCTGCCTAATTTTACTGCTTCCTCTCATGTACATGAGGGGCCTTACCGTAACATGGGTTAGTTAACACACCTGTAAGTCCGATTAAAAGCCCCAAGTTCTAGCTGTGCTCTTACAGAGAAAGGATAAATGATATGGAGAAAAAAGAAATCTAACTCTGTCTGCGTGCTACTTCAAAGAGCCAACATAAAACATGTCTGAGTTTCTTAAGAGGATATTCTCTGCCTGTGACAAAATAATTAATTTTGCCAGTTCCCCCCTCCACATCAGAAAATACTGTATGTTTATGGCTGTGCCGGAAAGCTGACAAAGTTCATAAACCATTATAATGAGTGGGTACTTAGCTCAGTAAATAGCAAGTCAATAAAGATGATGTGGTGTATTTTTTATTTTAAAGAGAAGAGAGCTAGCTTTAGGCTAAAGCTATTTTAAGATGCGGATAATTGTGGCGTCGTATTTTGTTTTGTTTTTGTTTTAGAGAAACTGCACAATTTGCTAAATGCTGGTAATTAATTCCTCTCTAGCAGCCGCGATGATACCACTTCATTTAGATTTCATAGAAGTTAAGTGATCGCTTTGAAAAATTGTAATCCTTCATATCTATCTGATGGATGTTTAAGACAACAGAAGATGTAATTAACTGGAGAGGAGAAAGAGAGCTTGAGTGGCTTTTAGGAATCAAAGGGAGGAAAAGCTTTGGGGAGGCCAACCGTGTCATTCACCTTTGACCTCTTTTACTGGAGTGCTTAACACACGGTGCCCAACATGACTCTTTGAATTATTCTTTTAGGCTTCAATTACCTGGCGCTGAGAGGAAGCTCAGCTGAACAGAAGGGGACTTACTTCTGAGTAGTCATGGATAAGTATAGGATTGCAACACTACCCTTCTCAGGCACACTCTTGTTTTGCGGATCTAGAAGATTCTTTTTAAATGATTTCCCCACAACGTGGTACCCATACCCTATCCAATCCAATTCCAGTTCCATCTGTAAAGAACCCTATAAATTATCGCGATCACAGTTCTTGCATGGACAACTTTATATCTATATATTTCTAAATGTTTGTGAGGGGACCAAGATGGAGAACAACCCACATTTAATACAGTATCAAAGAGGAGCTAACAAGTATATTGTCAGTGAAGTTTCAAAATACACAAACAGAAAAATCTAAGATGTAATTTTATTCATTTGGTTGTTCAGCCGAAAAGTGAAACAAAGATTAAGAACATAGACATCAGTTGTATAGCACGTTTACTTGACTCTTACATTTTTCATTTTGTGTACATTTAAAGCATGTCCTGCCTCCCCCGAATACTGGAAAGTGTCATTTGACTAGATGACCTTTGGGAATCCCTTCCAATTCTACAATTTTATGATTCTTTGAGGAAGCCATGATTTTAAAGTGGTATGGTACTGCTTTAAATGTATAGTGCAGATGGGACCTTAAGTCAGAGAACTGCATCACAAAATTTGAAGAAGTAGGAATGTGAAGGATAGCTGCATTTAAGTTCACATATTTTTTTCAGGAACTGAAAATTGGTCAGGTTTTGCATTAAAACGTGAACAAAACAGAATTTCTCCCCCATCCCAAGAATAAGGCAGCATGGCTGTGATGATGAGAGAAAGCAAACTTCCACAACTTGGGAAAGAGACTTTTCTAGTGAATGATGCCCAAGATGGTTGCTGCCCCATCCCTGAATGGTCTCAAGTGATGAGCCCCATTTTTCTTGGCCTCAAATCCTTAAAAAACAAACAGACATATTGCTGTTCCTTGTGAAATGCAATAGTGGTTAAGTCTGCCCACATGTCTCATGAACGTGTTTAGACCTCATGCTTTTGTTTTGTTATGGATCATGGAAACCACAACAAAACTATTATTACATATATTCAAACTGGTGATTTACTTCTCACACAGACTATTTAGGGTCATTCAAATAGAGCAAAAGACAACTCTACGTAGGTGGAATTGTTGAGAGTTGCTCAGTAGTTACTTAGATACATAATGCTCAGACTGGCCACTGTATGTTAAACAAGATGGCGTTTTAAACATAGCAGAAAAGTGGCCAAGAAGACACCTGTGAGAAACCTGCAAGTGGGACCTGAGCACAAGAGCACTCTCTTTTCTTGCAGTTTCTCTCAACTGGTATCCAGAAGGACACGGCCTCTGACCAAAGAGGCAGAGCATAGCTTCCATCATGGCTAGTTGCCACTGATAGACTTGTCCTCCATGACTTTGTCTAAGCCAGCCAAGTTGGTGGCCGTCACTGTTTCTGTGTCATACAACCTGTCTGTCATCTACTCTTCCTGGCACTACCCCTTGCTTGGTTCTATAACTCCAGCTAGGGAAGTGGAACACACTCAGGATGGTTGGGAAGAGGTTACGTGCATCTCTTACATGGGTAGGCAAACTAAGGCCCAGGGGCTGGATCCGGCCCAATCGCCTTCTAAATATGGCCCGCGGACGGTCCGAGAATCAGCATGTTTTTACATGAGTAGAATGTGTGCTTTTATTTAAAATGCATCTCTGGGTTATTTGTGGGGCATAGGAATTCGTTCATTCTCCCCCCCCCAATATAGTCCGCCCCCCACCCACGGTCTGAGGGCCAGTGGACTGGCCCCCTGCTGAAAAAGTTTGCTGACCCCTGAATTCTCTTCTGATGTTTCCTTCTAATCAGGAAGTGTAGCAGAATAGTGGGTGGCAGCAGTCTGGAATGGGCCTTTTGCATACATTTTTGAGAGCAGGAAAGACTAGTGACTTGCAGCTCTTGCTATCTGAGACCAGGATCATGCACTCTAAGTGCACAGATGCCTCAGACGTTCAGACAGTGATCATCCTGAGATGATGTTACAAACTCTTCATTTTCTAAAGTCTGTGACATTGTAGGGAAAGGTTTATATACCCCCTCTCATCCTCACTGTTCTCCCAGTAATGGTTGCCCCCCCCCGTACGTTAAGAGGAGAAATAACAGTAGTGGGTGGCTTGGTGAGGCAGAGGTCCTTACCTGACCTCATAGAAGGTGAGTTGCTGTTGCTTACTGGGGAGGAGATGGGTAAGGTAGTGATGAGGTTGGCTTGGTGCAAATGCATTGGCTGAGCCAGTCTGGCATTCCTGCCAGCGCATTTGCACTGTGCTGGTCTCCCTACCACCTCTTCCCTCCCTTCTTCCTGGTGTGCAACAGCATCTGCCAAAAGGCCAGGAAAGCATCTCTATCTCACCAGGCCATCTGCTACTCGGGAAGAAGAAAAACAGATATAAATGCAATGCTTTCTGGGTAGCAGCGATTCCTAGAGACAAGACCATAGAGAAGGAAATGGCTAGAGCACAGTATATATATATCGAGAGAGAGAGCACACAGTGTTTGTGTGTGTGTGTGTGTGTGTGTCTAGAACAATTTAATCAGCCATGATAGCAGCACAACAGGCTGTCTACACTAGGGGAAATTGCACATCTTTCCCTAACAACACAAATGTAGCATTTTGTTTAAAATGATGGAAACCAGCAAGCCATTCCCTCAAGAATCTGAAATGCAATTATATGAGATTGAGGTTTTCATAAAGCCAGATTTTCTGCGCTCCAAGCATGGGGGTGAGGGTGGGAAGGAAACTGTACAGTGAAAACCTGACAGGGAATGTTTTGTTCATGATGTGGTGCAGGTGCCCCATAAAAAGTGAATGAACAAAGTGTGGCTGTCACATGGCAAATGCTCAGTGTGGAAGCAGCCATTATCACCCCTGATCAAAATTGTAGTATTCAAGTTTGTATTGATTAACCAGAGGGGGAGTAAATCATCATAAGCTGAGGTACTGTGGCTTTTCTGAGTTTGATGTGGGAAACTAACAGAGTGGATTCAGTAAAACACACACTTACACAGAGCCTCCCCGCAGGTCTTGGGATTGTTAGGCAAATGATCGTCCACAGGCAGGAAAGTCATAATTATTATTTCCCTTCTAAATCAAAGACTTTACAATCAGACCATCAAACTCTAGCTGCAGCCTTTGGTTAATTGATATGGCTTTTTAAACCCTACCCCCATGGAGCATTTTGTTTAAAGCAATGGAAAGTCGTTCCCTCAAGTATCCAATATGGAGTTATATGAGATGAACAGAAGCTGAGCTGAGGGTTGTAATGAACAGTCCTGTCAATATTCCTGTCATAGAAACGATTGTGTCTCAAAAATCCAGGCTTGTATCCAACATAGCGCTAGGTAACCATCCTATCGCCTAAAGGATTTACACTTGTGCAATGGGAGTTCCCCGCCTCTTCTCACACATGTCCTCCCCAAATCTACTCCAGAACAGATTTGGGAGATGTTGGGGTGAAAGCCCCATCACACTAGTAGTGCAACTCCTTTCACTGACCGGATGGTTATTCAGCGTTGTACTGGATGCAAGGCATAGCCTTACAGTGCCTGAATATGAAGGTCAGCTGTCACATTCTGTCTTCTACAGTAAGTAATTCAGAGTGGATTTGCGTGTTGATTACAGGATCCCTTTTTTACATTCTTTTTTTTTTTAAAGATATTTATTGAGTTTTTCAAAATGTTACAAAGGAGAAAAAAAATAAAATAGAAGCAGAAAAAAGTACAAAAAATAAAAATAATTGACAAAATAGAAAAAAAGGGGAAAAAAACCAACCCCTTCCCACCATATAAGAAAAAAATTCCAAATGAGAAAAAATAACAGAAAAAAAGAAGAATGCAAAAATCACAAAACTTTAAAAACATTTTTTAAAAAATTCATTATTTTCAAATCCTTAGCTGTCATTACCTTCTTTCTTAGACCTCCTCCTCCTCCCTTTCTTTGTATCCTAGTTATTAAGTATCCCAGCAAATCCTTGACCTTATCTTCCTATAATAAAATAAACCTTAACACTTAAAACTTAAATCTTATCCTTACCAACTTCTCATAATCATAATATTCTTTCATAATTCTTTAAACATCTTTGCTAAAGCCAAGTAATTTCATTCCAACATTTTTCTATCATTCATCAATTTTATAAAACAGTTCTAATGGTAGAAAAAAGAGGTATAAACAAATCCAATCTTCATCCAGCGTCCCTTCCTCCTGGTTCCGGGTTTTGTCAGTCCTTATTCCCATCAATCTAGCCCATTAACCTGGCAACCTTATGTCCGAGGCCCTCAAGTCTCTTCCATGACCCTTCCGCGGCTCTTCTTCATATTTGTAACTGTATTTTCCCTTGTCTCCTGCTCGTGGTAACTCCAGCTTGACAATGTTTTTAACCCTTCTCAACAGATCAGCCCCTTTTCCATGTTCAACAATGAATTCCATGTAGTATTTAAAGGCATGTTTCAAAGGCCCTCCAAAATTGAGAGCCCCCACAGTCCCAAACAACTCACGGCCCGTTGCCATATTTGAAAAGTCCAAACATCCCAGCATAGGGGGGTCAATCCAGCCCCCCATTTCCAAACCAAGCCAAACTTTTCCTTTCCAGATATGGCTTTTTCAAAGTTCATTTGTCAAATCCAAAAATCATATTCCTGTTGGGCCTGTTCTGTCAAAACACACTCCTGATTTAATGTCAAAAACTCCTGTTCTGTCAAGACACACTCCTGATTTAAATCCTGAGTGGGCTCCACATATTTTCCCACTGTCTGTTCAAAGTTTCCCACTGCCTGTTCAAAATTTCTAGTCGAAGTCGCCATCCAATTCACCTTCTTGTGTAATTGTTCCAGTAGATCGTTTGTTTTATAGAGAGCATACAACAAGGCTTCTGAATACATTGTCCTACAAGGTCAGATACTTGTTCCCACGGTTGTAATCTGTAACAGCTGTCGACTCCCTGGAGTTAGTTACAGTTTCACAGTTACAATTTCACAGACTCCCCCTAGGGGGGAAACTTCTATTTATTCTTGCAACAAAGTTTCCTTTTTTAAGATACTTTGTCCATATATAATCCTTTAAAATGCGAAAGGGAACAGTGGAATCACTAGGTTTCTCTTCTTTCAGCCATCTGTCAAAAACACTTGTCTTTGGTTAATGAACTTCACACGTCAGTCCTGACAGCCCGCTCCAGGATCAGGACGGAGGAAAGTTACTTCACTTTTAAGTCACTTTAAACAGTCCAAAAAGATCCCCCCCTTCTCCTGCTGTCAAAGGGGGGTTCCACAATTTTAAATGGTGAAATCCAATCTTTTAAAAGTGATTTTCTGAGCTCTAGTTTAAATTGCCTTTGCTTTATTCTGTTTACAAAAGAACGGAAGAATGACTTCCTGTTTAGACCTTCCCGTTCCGTACCAAATTCAAATAAATTTTTAAAGTCCGATTCTTTCCTACTCGCAAGTCCTTATTTGATGTCCAATTGTTCAAAGTCTAAGTACTCACAGGTGCTTATTTTAAAGTCCAAATTGTCCCAGGAAAAAGGCAGCGCTCTCCGGCAACAGCTATGCGGCTTCGCTCCACAGAAATAGCAGTTGACTCACAGCACCGCGCCACTTCCCCCTCTTCACTTCGGAGCCCATTAGTGGGTTCCTTAGCGGGTTGGGGGGCGCTAAAGGTGCCTGCTGAGTCCCATGGTCACAGGCTTCATCCGTCTGTGATTTTTAAGTGGGTCCCCGCTTCGCCGTAGCGGAGAAGACCCGTTTTCCGTGGAGCTAGTCCCTCCAGTTCAGAGGGAGTCCGCCATTGCCGGTGGCGCCACCCCGGAAGTCTCCCTTTTTTACATTCTTATCACAATAGTCAGTCAGTAAAAGATATTTTGTTATAATAATAAATAAATTATAAAAGTTTTCCTGAAGGTAGTTAGAAAATTGCCCAGCATCTGGGATTTACTTATCACTGTCTGGGCCACAGCTGAGGTGTCCCTTAAGGACACAACAGGGTAACTTGCATTAAGGATCCGTGTGGCGCACAGTCCAGAAACCTGTGGCTTGGATTATAATGCGGCCAAAGTGGGGAGAATTCAGAAATGAGGCATTAGGAAAGCATGCTTTCCTCTTCAAATTAAAACAAAAACATCCTTACAAGTCAAATCCTTGTTTTTAGACTTTCTCTCTTAGCTGGGGATGGGTGAGTCTGTCCATTTAGGTTTCTCTCAGTTTCTCGTTTTTCTAATTTTAAATTCAGCTTTCCACATTTCCGTAAGAGTTTGTGGGATTTGAAGCATCTCATTTAAATGGCTAATCAGGATTTCTTTAAGAACTCCAAGAAAGGAGATGTTATAACTTCTGCAGGCAGGTTGCTGTCACTGTAATCCCAGAATATCCACAACAGGTCAGCCTCTCCAACCAATTCAGATCTTGGTCTGCCACAAGCAAAGAACAGTTGCACCAGAGTAAAGCAAGACCCCCAGAGAGTCCAGGCAAAAGCATGTGAAACTGTGGCCACTTGGGCATTGGCCTATGCACAAACATGAGGTGCTTTTGACCGAGAGAGGTACAGGTAAGAAAGCTCTAAACTTTAGCTGAGCATAGAATGTCCAGTGCCTTTTGATCTACAAAAAAACCTGAGTTACACAAACTGGAGTTCTTCCCCTTGAGTTACTCAGCTGTTGCCCATTGCTGGAAGTATCACATCATCCTCTCGTTTGTTATCAACTACTGGAGAGAAGGGAAACTTGCCGCACATAATATTTGTGCAAAGGCTGAGCAGATTCAAGCATAGCCTTTGGCTACGCAGAGAAAAGAGGCTTGGGAATCTGGAGTGCGTGTATGTGTGTGTAATTAGACACTGAAGTTTCCCATGTTTATACCTGAGCACTGCTAAATTAACCATCACAACAGAGTCGGGGTAATTCCTGTCAGTTCCTGCCGAATCTCATTTGTTTATCCTGGCATGCTGTCTCCTTGGCATTTTGCTGTTGTTCTTGTTAAAAAAAATATGAAATGTGAAATTCTGGGATACCAATCCACATTTGGGTAGATTGGAGGGGGGTGTTAGAGATGCTGTTTTACATCTCCATGGTAACGACTTCGGCAGCTAGAGAGAAGGATAATTTCCCATACAAAAGATTTGCGTGCCTTGCTGTGCCAGAAGGAATGGCAGGGTAGCTTGAGATAGCGCTGAAATATTAATGTCTTTGATGCCTCACGGACAACTGATATAATGTTATGAAATGCTGTCCATATAGCCTTGTCAGTCAAGGATTTACATACATGAAGACAGTACCATATGAAACTCCAGTCCTGTACAGACAGCACATGGCTCTGAAGAGATTCTCTGAGGAAGAAGAATGCTGAAGCTTAGATGCTGTCTGCACAGTGCACAGATTTACCTGTGGAATATAGCCCCAAGAGAGGCAAGTGAGGGGAGGGCTCCTTGGCTTTGTTGCCTCACAACAACCTTGTGAGGCAGGGCTGTGAGTGGCCTACAGTCACTCAGAGTGTCATTTGGACTCCTGGATCAGGCCAAACACCCATCTACTCCAGCATAGCCTTATAGTGCCAACCAGTTGCCTTACAGCAGGCATGTCAGAACCAGTAGATTGCAATCTACCGGTAGATCCCCAGCTGAGCTTGGTAGATCAGGGACCCTTATCGATCGTGGGATTAAATAAAGTTTACTGAAAGTTAACAAATAAAAGCTGAAGAACTCTGGGCAATCCTACCCCTAAAAAGCTCAACAACTCTGGGCACGAGAACTCTGGGCAATCCATCCGCCATACGCACGCTCCTCCTCCTCCCTCCAGTGACAATGGGTAGATCACTACCAGTTTTTTTTATACTGGGAGTAGATCATAGTCTCTTGGGAGTTGGACGTGCCTGCCTTACAGGAAGCCCACAAGAAAAACCCGAATGCAACAGTGCATGCCCCACTGATGATTCCTAGCAAATAGCATTCAGAGGCATGCTACTGCTAGCAGTGGAGGACATAGGCATTATGGCTAGTTAATTCTGATAGCCTTATTCCAAGCCCACTCACAGTCCAGTATCTCACCTGATAATTCAAATGAATGGCTGCGGGAAGGAAATCTAATTTTCTATTTTTTTTAATCCGTTCCTGCAAATACCAGCCCTCAAAATATATTCGTACCACTTTCCCCCTGAAAAAGACAATATACACGAATATTTCAGAACAGAGAAGAATGCATGCAAAATTTGATTTTCTGTAACCTTTTCCTGCAGATGGATGCCAAGGTGGTGCTCATAAAAAAATGCCATTGTGAAGTCCACAATGAATTATTTTTGCAAGGGGCACCAGTCCTTCATGTCTTTGGTCTGTCCTCCTCCCCACTCCCATTTATCTCACAAAGCACAAGTTACACTTTAGGGAGCTGCTGAAGAAAGGATAAACAACGCTTGCTGTGCTGATGTAAAACACAGTCAAAAGGCTCATCTTTGTCTCTGTAACAATATTCTGGCAGTGTCTGATTTCTGACCTCTAAACTTCAGAGTGTAAAGGAACCACAGTGGCAAGACACTGACAAACCCCTGCAGACAAAACCATTAATTTTATGTCTTTTCCCCACCCAGCCACTCAATCATATCCTGACATTAACAATTCAATTAAGATTCCTCCTCAGTCTGGATCTCATTGAATTGCACCAAAGGGTTTGGATTTATGGAGCAATGCCATGGCTGCCGTGCCACTTATAGGACGCCGTATTAAATTCTAACAGCGGTGCAAGGCACAACTCATCATCACCCCATGTGTGCCAGCTCTGGGACTGATGTCAGCCCTAACACGGCCATTTCCCCTTAGGGCTGCTTCCTGTGATTTTTATTTTTATTTAGCTTCCCTGGGTGAATTCCACTGTGCCAATCAGGCAGGCAGAAGGTAGTTGGCCAACCCTAGCAGGACTGGCCCACCCATGAGGCAGACCGAGGCAGCTGCTTTGGGCGGCAGAATCCCATGACCCTGGTGGGCAGCACTTTCCCATTTTGCCAGGCAGGCCACTCCCAAATCCTAGGAACAATGGAGGGTAAGGTAAATATGTGCTGGTCGTACGTGAAGAGGCAGGGACTTCTGGGAAGATGGGTAAGGTAAAGGTAAAAGACCCCTGACAGTTAAGTCCAGTCACGAATGACTCTGGGGTTGCAGTGTTCATCTCGCTTACAGGCCGAGGGAGCCAACGTTTGTCCACAGTTTTTCCGGGTCACGTGGCCAGCATGACTAAACCGCTTCTGGCGAAACCAGAGCAGCGCATGGAAATGCCATTTACCTTCCTGCCAGAGCGGTACTAATTTATCTACTTGCACTTTGACGTGCTTTCGAACTGTTGGGTTGGCAGGAGCTGGGACTGAGCAACAGGAGCTCACCTCGTCGCGGGGATTTGAAGTGCCAAGCTTCCAATTGGCAAGCCCAAGAGGCTCAGTGGTTTAGACCACAGCACCACCTGTGTCCCTGGGAAGATGGGTAGAATCAGCTAATCTCACAGACATACATAGAGTTGAGCTTCAGCAGCCTAGACACATTGCGGATGTGCTGTACTGGCTTGGCGGAGGATTTCTAAGAGTAGCTCTGGGGTTTTGCATGCAGAAAGTCTCAGATATCTCCAGGCATGGCTAAGAAGGAGTCCCTGTCTCAAATCCCAGAGAGCTGCTCCTGGTCAGGGTAGAAAATACTGAGTTAGGGGTATCGTGCTCTTCTATTCCTAGTACACTGAGAATAGATAGCATTCCAAGAGCCAGAGTCTAGATTTAAGTTGCCTAATATGTTGAAAGTGCTTTAATTGCATGACAACATAATACAGTAAGGTTCAAGTATATAACATGCTCTTATTCGCCAGAACACTGAAAGGCAGGGACAGTTTTGCATCTCAGCAACAATTTGGAGGGAAGGTTGTACGCACACTTTCCCCCTGCCTACCTCCACAATTAAAAATGGCTAGAGGCTATTTTGAAGAATGAAAGACAAACATTTAGGGAAATGGTCTGGAGGGTGCAAGACCCTACTGTGGCTATAGCTTTGAAGCAATAGCAGCAGCACAGGATGTGCTCTTGGGACTAAGCTTCTTCATAGGGTTGGGTAACGGTGCTTTCTAGATATTGGACTCCAACTCCCATCATTTGCAGCCAGCAAGACCGATAATCAGGGATGGTGGGAGCTGTGGTCCAACAACACCTGGAGGGCACCACATTGTTCACTCTTGATTGTTGCCAAAGCTTTGGTACTAGAATTCCACCAGATATCCAATGCAGCTTTCCAGCTGATGCTCTGTTGTGCATGTAAACTGAGCAGCGGGTACCTATGGGGCAGATGGAGAACATGCGCCATCTTGTGTATTACACCTTCTCTTTTGGGATAGTCTAGGATAACAACGCGTCATGGGACGCAGGTGGCACTGTGGGTTAAACCACAGAGCCTAGGACTTGCCAATCAGAACGTCGGCGGTTCGAATCCCCGCGACACGGTGAGCTCCCGCTGCTTGGTCCCTGCTCCTGCCAACCTAGCAGTTCAAAAGCACGTCAAAGTGCAAGTAGATAAATAGGTACCGCTCCGGCAGGAAGGTAAATGGTGTTCCGTGCGCTGCTCTGGTTCGCCAGAAGCGGCTTAGTCATGCTGGCCACATGACCCGGAAGCTGTACGCAAGTTCCCTCGGCCAGTAAAGCGAGATGAGCTCCGCAACCCCAGAGTCGGCCGTGACTGGACCTAATGGCCAGGGGTCCCTTTACCTTTACCTTTAGGATAACAACCAGTGTTGCAGTTTACACCTAGCAAGGCTCTGTGCACTGTTGTTGTTGGCAATAACTAACATTTTTGTAGCCTTTTGGGTGTTCAGAGAGCTTTATGTGCAATATGCCATTGTAGCCCTTACAACAGCCTTCCCATCTCTCCAAATTCCATTATCCCTGACCATTGTCTATGCTGGTCTGGGATGATGGGAATTATAGTCCAAAGCATTTTAAGGGTACCACCAGCTTGGAGAAGGGTGCCTTACAACAACCAACATGAGGCAAATCATATTGCATATGGTTCGGGGGAAGGGGAGTGACGCTTGCCTAGAACCACCCAGTGATTTTATGCCAGAAGCAAGATTCAGACCAGGAACTTCCTGGTGTGTAGCTCAGTTTTTTGGCAGCTGTGCTACACTAGCACCCCCTGTTCAGATTTGGCTCTTGAAAACAAATGAGCTATGCAGTGCATCCATATTGTAACCAGAAAATCACAGTTAAACAACGTGAACGTGGTCTTGTTTTGTTACTGTTTGCAGTGCACAACTGTGTTTAAATGCAGCAGAACACAAACACCTACCTGAACTAGCACCTTTCTTATTTTACTTTTTTAGCAGGGGGTTAAACATTGCCTGTTGGCACCAGAGATAGCATGAGGTCATATAATACCAGCTGCCAAACCACAGCTATGCTGTGCGAGAATAGCAGCCAAACAGTTCTCCCTCACAGACAGATTTGAGGCAGCACATCTGGCTGAAAGAAGCATCATTGTTGGATTCCCAGCTCGAAGT